CCCGTCCTTCCACTCTTCCTTCTATCTTTGACAACTTTGTTTGCAATTAGGATGCTGTCTACAATTTGTCTTCCTTTCACGAATGCAAACTGATTTGGAGAGACCAGCTCTTTTAGGATTTCTCTGTCTTTTTGCTAAAACTTTTGCTAGGATTTTGTACACGCTCCCTACTAGACTTATTGGTCAGAAGTCTTTCACTTCCAAGACACCATTTTTCTTTGGAATGAGGCAAATAAATGTGGAGTTATTTCCTTTGTTTACAACCGCTGTGGAGTGGAAATCCTTAAAGACCTCCAAAAGATCCACTCTTAGAACTTCCCAACATATTTGAAAAAAGAAGATTGGGAAGCCATCGGGCCCAGGGGCTCTATCTCCATCCATCTCAAATAATGCTTCTCTTATTTCTTGCTCCTCAAATTCCCTTTCGAGCCATATTCTCTTATCTTCTGCTAGAGTCGGCCCTTCCCAACTTCTTAAATTTAACTTCCTACCAGTTTCCTTGGAGTAAAGATTTTTGAAGTGGTTAAGAAACACTTCTGTGATTTCTTCAGCATCTTCCACTTCCCTCTGGTCCACTATAATTTTTGAGATGAGGTTCTTTCAACGCCTACCCAATGCCTCCAAAAGATTTCTTCTTTTCTGATTACCTTTTCCCAAGAATTCCTTAAATCATCTCTCCTCCTTCTTCCTTCTTCGTCCAGAACTCCTGATTACTCCCTGTTATCAAGATCTTCCAACTCCAAGAGGATGGCACTTTTTTCCTCTGCAAACGATTTAAATTCTTCTCTCCCCCAGGCTTTCAGTTTTCTTTTAATGAATTTTAGCTTTTGCAACAATCTTTGTCCAGCCCAGTCTTCAACTCTACATTCCTCCCACCAAGAAGCTACATTTTTGTGAAAATCTTTATGTAGAGCCCACATTTTCTCCAGTCTAAAAGGGGGTTTACCTTTCAGGACCATATCTATTCTCAGGACTAAAGGCCAGTGGTCTGAAGTGCAGCGAGGTCTGATTTCTTGGAGAAGATTTGGGAACTTTTCTATCCAATCTGAAGTTACTAGAAACTTATCTAGTCTGCAGCTTGTTGGGTTCTCTTGAAGATTTGACCAAGTGAACTGGTCATTATGGAGGGGGAGGTCGCAAAGGTTATGTCTTGAGATAAATCTGGACAAGTCCCTCATGCTTCTAGTTGCTTTTCTTCTGTTGGAGTTTTCTTGAGAGAACCTTGTGACATTAAAGTCACCTCCTAAGACCCAAGGGGTTTCATCAAATTCATGTAGAGCATCCAACTATTCCCAGATTCTTTGCCTATTTGTGGGAGCGTTTGTTCCATATACTCCAGTCATAATCCAGCTAAAACCATCATTCTTATTGGTAAAGAGTACAGAGATTGAGAACTCTCCTTTATCAATTTCAATGCCCGAAACCTCCTCTTCATTCCAAGCTAGGATAATTCCCCCTGAGGTGCCTAAAGCGGGAAGAACAACCCATTTCTTTCCATGAATTCCCCAAATTGCTCTCAGAAGCTTCCTGTCCACTTCTTTTTTTGTTTCTTGGAGAATGACTATATCTGGGTTTTCTCTTCTCAATGAGTCTTTTACCAAACTTCTTTTTATTTGTTCTCCCAACCCTCTAACATTCCAACTTAACAATTTCATTAAGCTCCGATCAGTGATTTTCCCTTGTTCGCCCTAGGCCCTGTTGTCTTTTGATATGTCAATCCCCATTGAAGTCTCTTTAGCTCCCTTTTAGAGTTCTGCTTGTTGCTCTTCACAAACTCAACCTTCTGAATTCCATTTTCCCCCTTTTTCGGAGCCTAGATGTGTAAAGTTCCCTTTTCTTCAGTTAACCCCAATTTTCTAGTTGTCTCAGTAACATCTTTTTCCAGATTAACATTCCTTCTGTGTGACTGTGTTTATCCGAACTGTCTTGCCCGTTGACCATCTTTTCTTGGTAGAATGGGTTAATGCTCGGTTGGGAGTGCTTTCCGTTCAAACCTAGAAAACAGTGAGGGGAATTAAGGTGAGATCCGAGATAGAAGACGAAGCAGAAAAGATTACAGGCAAAGAAGAGGAAGGGGAATTAAGGTATGATGTTTGCAATGGTAACTCAGTCCTATTTTGGGAGGATACTTGGGTTGGAGAGGCTCCATTGAAGGACCTTTTCCCTTCTTTGTTCTCTGTTTCAAGGTATAAATTATAAAAAGTATTTTGTGTCAAAGTTTTTTTCCATTATGAATAATCCATTAACGCCAAATTGGGACTTTGGGTTTCGTAGAGGTAGAGGTTTAAGGGAAAAGGAAATTGTGTCTCTCACATATCTGCTAAGCCTACTTTATACAGTATGTTTAACCCTTCTGAACCTGATAATCGGATTTGGACACCTCAGCAGAACGGATCCTTCTCATGCGCTTCTTTCTTTAAATCCATAACTCAGTCTACCCCCAACCAGCCTTTCCCTTTTAAGGAAATTTGGTGCAGGCCTGTCCCCCCTAAGGTTGTCTTTTTGCTGGGAAGTGTATTATGGGAAAATAAACACCTTCGACATTCCACAAAAGAGAGGACCTTTTCTCTGTCTCTCACCTTCTTGGTGTATTCTTTGCAGGTCACATGGTGAGGATTGTAACCATATACTAATATCTTGTTCATTTACTACAGAGTTATGGGAGTGGCTCTTCTCATTGTTTGGGTGCAGGTTGGTTAGGCCAGCAGATGCAAGTTTGATTTTTGATTCTGCTTTCTTCCCTTGGCATTACAGAAGAGGAAGAATTATGTGGAGGTGTGCAAGAGCAATGCTGATCTGGTCCGTGTGGGAAGAAAGGAATACCAGAATTTTCCAAGAGAAGGAGAGAAGCCCAGAAGAGATGAAGGACTGCATTCTAAGTAGGGTGATCTTGTGGCTAAAATCACTAGACCTATTCCATCAATTCTCATTTAATGATATTTGGAGGAATTGGTTAGCAGTGGCTAATTGTTCATCCATAAAGACCAAAGTGAGTATGGCTTGGGAACCCCCTCCTAAAAGATTATTGAAGCTGAATTTCGACGGAAGTAGTCTTGGTAATCCAGGTCTGTCAGGGGTGGGAGGGGTACTGAGGAATGAGAGTGGGAATGTGGTTCTTATTTTCTTAGGACCCATAGGAGTTGGAAACTCTACTAGGGCGGAACTTTCTGCTGCTATCCAGGGAGTACAGTTAGCAGTGCAGATAGGTGTGGAACAGTTGATAATAGAAGGGGACTCCAAGGTGGTAGTGGGCTGGCTACAAAATCTGGACTCTATAGCGTGGTGTTTTAAGAATGAAATTAAAAAATTCAACTGCCTAACAAGAAGCTTGACAGTGAGAATACAATGGGTGGGGAGATCAGCAAAGTTTATGGCTGATGGTCTTGCAAAGCAAGGGTAAATAGGGAAAGTTTGTATTGGTTTCAATTGTAGACTGAATCTGTTTTCTATCTTTTGTCTTTCTTCCTACTGTTAGGAGAGGACGCAGCTCGTGCCTCTCCACGGGAAGCTTGTAACTGCATTAGTTTTTATTAATGAAATTTATCCTTCTTATTTATCAAAAAAAAAAAAGAAGAGGAAGGAGAAGAAACTCTGGAAAAGGTAAGTTTTTGATACACTTGAAACACCTGATATGCATACTCGTGTGTGTCAATACTTTGAAACTTGCTAACCTGCTCAAACCAATCAAATGGCTCCAATAAGCAGATAGATGTATATTCAATAATTCTATTTTTGTGTTTTTTTAAGGTAAAAATTAAAGAATTATACCTCTTAATGGCTTTCTGAGCAATAAAGGAAGTGCATCCCAAAGCCGTACTTCTTACAACAACCAAGTGTTTCTCCTTCTCATCCTTTTTCTTCCTCTTCTTTTCCTGTGATTGATGCTGCAAGTTTTAACAAATTCCTAATTTCCAGTTCTTATTGATTACCAAAAAGAATGCCCAGTTCTTATCTCTAAACATCAGAGATATGGTACTGTAGGCTATACTGCAGTACTTAGCTACTATGATATTTAATTTAGATAGTGTCAGCATCTAACTGCTGCTGAACTGCTGAACTAGGAACAACTAGCCTTAGCAGTTTTGCTTAGTCCAGTTTTCAAAACAAGGGTATTTGGTTTTTGAGGTCTCTGCATGAATGGATCTGTCTATTGCCAATTCTTTTTTGATTTTAGTAACTCAATTTTTCAAGGGAAAAAGAGTGCTGAAGAAGCACGTCACCATGTTGTAACAAGGCAAAGGATTAAGAAGCATGTCACCATGCTGAAAAAGAGGCTTCTCTTTTTTTGATAGTTAAAATTTCAATTTTTCATTAAATCAGAATAGTTGAGAGCCTTGCCCACACTTCTGAGATGTTTCTAAGGGGCCATTTGATAATGGCTGAACTGAATAACTTACTGCTTTGTCTTATGGTGAATAAACACTAAGTAGGTTGTCTTCTCCTTATGGACTAAATCGAATGTTGGGTTGGTTACTATACCACTGAATATTTTATTCTATAACTATTTTATCCACTAGATGGCAAAGCAGTAAGTCATACAGTTCAGCCACTTCAGCCTTTATCAAATGCTCCCTAAATACTCAAAAACCAATATGATCTTATCTATTCAGTAATCTCCAAGCATCTTGGCATTTCTTGGTTAAGCTGTAAAGAATCTTCCTATTGAAGTCTCCACTAAAGCCTTTGATAGGGTCCAATAATGATGTTACATTTCATTTATAGGTTGGTTGTTTTGTTTCTAACATCTTTGGCCTTGAATGGCCTCTTTTTAATTATTCACCTCTCCAATAAGGTGGAATTGGAGATAACTATTTATAATTGCTGATAATATCTGCATGCAATTGTTATGTTTGAATCAATAAGCAGTTTTCCATGTTTTACATGTCAGAGATAAGAGAAAGTTTGCATGCAATTCACATGGGAGGTGGTTGAATGATGACTAACAACTTTATTGGCAGTTAAACAGAAAAGATTTATTAATTGTAAGGTTCCAATTTCAGGTGTGACATTGTTATTTAATGAGCCACCAGATGCACGCAAGCCAGATATAAGATGGAGACTGTATGTTTTCAAGGCTGGTGAAGTGCTCAATGGTAACACTCTTAAAGTGCTTTTCCTTCAGTGTTCATTATTTTCTGTCTCTTTCTACTTAGTAGTATTCTTTTCACTTCCCAACTTCATTTGCCATGCCTTGTCTTCTTACTTCTCTTATCTTTGTAAGTAGTAGAACTTTTCTTGATGATGAATAATAAATGTGGCTTAATTGATAAAAACATGGGATATCCTATTTAAGTATCCCTCTCTGATGCAAACACACAAACCGAGAATATATGGAAAAATAAATCAATTCTCTTGATTCTTTATTCAGTGGCAATTGACTTTGGGTGATCAATAATTTGGTTAATTTGATTTTTTTAAGTGTTTTTTTAGTTTGTTGGTATTGTAGCGATTGGGCTATCCATTTTAGAGGGTTATAATTGTCTAAAGCGTCATTTTTACAGAGTTTTTGGATTTTTCAAAGTTGAAGGTGCAATCATGTTGGTTTTCTTTCAGCCTATTTTTTAAGAGGTCAAAAACTTAACTGTTTTTCTTGATTTTGGTATCTTTCAAAAGGTTTCTGAGTTACCTATTACCTATCCAACAAGACCAAGATGTTGTGAATCTATTCATCAAAAAAAAGATGTTGTGAAATGGGAAAGTAATGACAATTTTAATGGTAGGTTGTTGGTGGGTTACAGGATTGGATTTTGAGTTTCTATTTATGTTTCTTTTATTTGAAATAAGAAAGTAGTTTGCCACTCCCTCTTGCTACAATATGTAAATGCATGTTTTACTTGGGTTCAAAGATCAGCTTACCATGTAGCTGATTTGGCCAAGCAAGGGGTAGCAAGGGTTTAACAGAGCAGAACTATTCTTTGTATTTATGTAAGCAAAGATTCAAGGTGATTGGGTAGTTCGGCTAACCCAAACCTCATTGATGTAACCATAACTGAACATATTTTCTTATTTTCCATAAATCAATAAAGATCTGCAGTTACCAATTGGAAAGAAAAAAGAATTTGAATGGAGTTATTTTCTCTTTTCCTTTCCCCCTCCTTTTATATTAGTTCTGACTTCCTTCTATACAAAGGTGTTTTCTCTTATTTTTTTTATAGGTTGAATATGGCTGTTTTTTTCCCATCCCTTTTTGAAATCTTGTTCAGTTCTCATGTTGTTTTTAGATTTGCAAATTTCACTGTTACTTAATTTGATGCCGTCTCTAAGGTTCTTACTGCAATGCCTTGTTTACTGGATTTCTTAGCTGATGTACTATTGCGAATCTTAGTATTGCATTCTTGTCACATAAAGTTAAAAGTCATTAATTTAATTTTGGTGTCTATTCTTGTAGTTCATTAATACTATAGTTATAACTTGAATTTCATTACTTATTAGCTTCCTATTAAATTTATTAATGTTTCTAAGGATAATATGTGATGAACAGAGCCCCTTTATATTCATCGCCAAAGCTGTTACCTTTTTGGTAGAGAAAGAAGGGTGGCAGACATCCCTACAGATCACCCCTCCTGTAGCAAACAACATGCTGTCATTCAATACCGGTAGATTTATATTTTGGCAATTTTATTTTGTGATAGGTGTTTTAAGACAAATTTTAATCATTTGTTTCCTATTTGTTAGGCAAGTAGAAAAAGAGCAACCTGATGGCACATTGTCAAAGCAAGTAAGGTAGGGGCAAGTTAGTTTATACTTTATAGTTCATTGGTGCCACAGTTTATAAATTTACCTAATATGTAATAAAAAGTATTATCAACATTCTTCATTGATTATATTTCTCAATACTTACTGGCTATTTCTATTCTGTATGCACTTTACTAGGCCTTACTTGATGGACCTTGGAAGCACAAATGGAACTTTCATTAATGTAAGCTGTTTATAGCTATGTCCCTTTCCCATTCATTAATAAAATTTAATATATAAATATATGTATGTATATATGGTACATATATGCTATTTTTCTCTTATGCTTGCTTTTACTTGGTGCAGGATAATCGCATTGAATCTCAGCGTTATTATGAACTTTTTGAAAAAGATACCATCAAGTTTGGTAATAGTAGGTAGGCAATCAATTATATTGATGTATGTTGATATCCAGGTTATATAACTATCAATCACAGTTTTTGTTCTGTTTATGAATCCTATTATCAACAGAAATGCATCAGTGGGTACCATTTGGTTCTTATTAAACTATTAAAATTTATTACTTGCTTTTCTTTTACAGAGGCATATTTTTTTTGATCAATAACAGATTCATTATATTCGTTGAAACATCATACTAATTACAGCACGGAAGACAAACACTCTTATCTTCTGAATACAACCTAAACCCTCCAAAGAGGGAAAAGGAAAAAAGAAACAGTTAAGTTACAATTTAGCCCAAAACATTGCTTCCCTTTCTATCCCTTGTTTATCTAACCCATCAGCTAAAGAATTAGCTGATCTCTTAACCCAACCCATCCTGATTTCCATCCCCCGCACCAACCAGCTGAATTTCCTCTTCTCATTTCTGTAGTTCCATAAGCCGCAGTTGTCTTTGTTCAGCCACCCCATCACCACCTCCGAGTCCCCTTCAATTAAGAGTCTTCTAACATTCATCTCCTTGGCTTTCTGAACTTCTTCCATAACTGCCAAGATCTCAGCTCTAAGGGAATCCCCCACACCAATTGGGCCTGAGAACAGGGCAGAGATGATCCCGTTCTCATCCTTAAAAACACCTCCAATCCCTGATTGTTCAGGATTCCCCCTACAGCTCCCATCAAAATTTAATTTTAAGAAGCCAGCAGGTGGGGGAGTCCAAGACACCCTTATTATTGGTTTAGTCTGTGTGCAATTTGCAATCTCACCCCACTTTCTCAACGTGTCTTCCACTGTTTAGTCTGTAAATAGCTATAGTGATTTCAGCCACTGTACAACCCTTATATGGATCACGACCATCAATTCTTCATCCCCTCTCTCCTTTTCTGAGAAGATCCTAGAATTTCTTTCTTCCCATAATGACCAGCATACTGCAACCCTCAACCCTCTTCACATAGTCCTTCCCCTTTTCATGTGCCACCTAAAAAAAAAGGGGAAAAAAGGTTCTGCAAGTCATTAAGGGTTCCACCTGCACCCAAAGAGAGAAAAAGCCCACTCGCAAATTGATTTCGCAAATTGGCAAGACACCAATGAGGTGACAAGCAAGTATTGGGTTTCTTCTTTTGGAGCAAATCCCCAATGTTGAATCTTTCCAAATAGACTTCCCAACAAAAACCACCAACCCTAGGAGGAATTGGTCTGCACCAAACCTCATTAACTGGGAAAGGGGAGGTTGCAGGACTAGCGGACTGGCAATGGACTTTGAAGAAGGAAGCATAGGAAAAAGAGCCCGTGGGGGTAGGACTCCAAATTCTAGAGTCCACCTTAGAAGGGTCTAAGAACACATTATCAAGAAGTTCAAGGAGGCTCAAAATACTATCAAGGTTTGAATCCCTCACAACCCTCCTCAGACCCAGGTTCCACCCAAACCCCGAACTGGAAGAGGAATGGGTGATGAAAGAAGAAATTGGCTCATGTTTAAAATAAGAAAGAGCATACAAAGAAGGAAACTGGTCCTTAAGAGGAGCATCCCCTGCCCAAATTTGTTCCCAAAATTTTATGGAATTACCTGAATTCAAATCCTGACAAGAGGGGAGAAAACTGGAAGCAGATCATGAATGGCTTTCCAAGGTAAAGTGCTTGTAGTCCTTGCTCTGATTTCAGCATCCCATCCATTTTGTTCTAACCCATGTATGCTTGCCACTATTCTAGCCCATAGCTTCTCCTGCTCCAAAGGAAACCTCCACAACCACTTCCCCAAAAGGGCCGAATTCCTTTTCCCAATGTTCCTAAGCCCCAAACCACCAAAATTTTTACTCCTAGTCACCACCTTCCAGCTAACTCTGTGGTCCCTCTTCTCCTCTCCCGGCTCCCAAAGGAAATCTCTCATCAACCTCTCCAGCCTACTACAAACCTTCCCTGGAATCTTAAACACTGAAAGTAAGTAAATGGGTATGTTTGCTAACGTGGCCTTGATCAGTGTAATCCTACCACCCAGAGAGAGGTAATTCTTTTTCCAAGAGAAGTATTTTTTCAAATCTTTCCACCACCGGATTCCAAAAGCTCTCTTAGGATTATCACCTAGGGGCAACCCTAGATAATTCAAAGGCCACCCTGAGACTTCACACCCAAGTACTTCTACACTCTCCCTAATCTCTCTCTCCTCCAGATTCACACCCACTACATAGCTCTTCCCAAAGTTCACCTTCAAATTTGACATTTGCTCAAATAGATGGATCACTAGTTTCAAATTCTTGATGAAGCTCATGTTACCTCTTTCACAAAATAGGATCGTATCATTAGCAAACTGTAAGTGAGTGAGTGGTATGTTCTCCCTTCCAACCCTCCAGCCTCTAATGAGATCCCTAGAGTCTGCTCTGTGGATCAATTTCCCCAGAACATCAACAACCAGTTAGGACAAAAAAGGAGATAAGGGGTCTCCCTGTCTTGTACCCCTAGTGGCTGGGAAGAAATCTACCATTGCCCCATTCACTAGCACTGAATAATGACAATTCCAAACACAACCCATGATCCATTTGCACCATCTAGCCTTGAACCCCATTTTGGACATAACTTTCCTTAAGAATTCCCAATCCACCATGTCATAAGTCTTCTCTATATCCAGCTTACAAACCACTCCCTTCTTTTTATCCTTCTTAAAACTCTCCACACTCTCATTAGCAAAGAGGATTTGAACTGTAATCTGTCTTCCACTTACAAAGGCACTTTGATTGTGTTCAATTATGTCTGGCAATATACCAGACTGATTGGTCTGAAGTCCCTTGGATTCGAAGCTTCTTTCTTTTTGGGAATCAAAGCTATAAAAGTGGTTTTCACCCTTGGATAAACAATTCCTCTCCTATGAAATTCCTCAAAAACCATTAGAAGGTCCTCTTTCAAAATATCCCAACAATCCTGATAAAAAGTCATTGTGAACCCATCCTGCTCTGGAGCTTTTGTTCTGTCCATAGAAAACACAACCTCCTTAATCTCTTCCAAGTCAAAGTTCCTTTCCAAACTCCTATTATTCCCCCCCCCCCTATATCTGGCCACTCCAAACCTTCTAACCACACCCTTCTATTTACAGGCCTTATTAGAATGGATTTAAAGTGTTTTACACATGCCACATTTATCTCCTCTTGTTGAGTTAACTCGGTTCCATCCACAACCAATTTGGAGATGAAATTTCTCCTTTTTCTTCCATCTACCAAAGAATGAAAGTACCTGGTATTCCTGTCTCCCTCTTGCAATCATTTACATCTAGATTTTTTCCTCCAACTTATTTCCTCCTTATGTAGGTAGTTTTTTAACTGTCTTCTCAAGCCCTTTCTTAGTTCATTGTCTTCCTTTCCAAATTCTCCCCTTTCTTCTTTAGAGTCAAGGCTTTCAAGTTGGTCCATCAAATCTCTCTTTCTTTCTTCTAACCTCCCAAACTCCAGGATATTCCACTCTTTGATCTTTATTTTCAAAAATTGTAGTTTCTTATGAAATCTCATCCCCACCCATTCCACCAATGGGCTACACTCATTCTACCACTCCCTTACTCTATTGGTAAACCCAGGATGGAGTAACCACATATTTTCGAATCTAAACGAGGCAGGTCCTCCACTCCTTCTCTCTTCCTTGCATAACACTATGGGCCAATGATTCGATGTCACCCTAGGTAGAGTTCTAGATGTCGAAGTTCCTCCAGTGTTCTTCCCATTCCACAGAAAACAGGAACCTATCCAACTTAGAGCATATGGGACTAGCTTGAAGATTTGACCAAGTAAATGTCTTCTAGGCCAACGGTATCTCCTTAAGCTCAAAGGCATCCGCAAACCTGTTAAACTTCCTCATGCTTGTTGTCACCCTCTGATTGGTCTTATTAGTTTGCTTTGGGTATCTAATCACATTGAAGTCTCCACCCACAACCAAGGCCCCTCCCACAGTCCTCTTACATTAACTAATTCCTTTCTCTCTTTGTAGTCATTTGGTCCATAGACATTTGTAAGCATCCACACATATCCATGTTCCTTCTGTTTGAACTTCATGGAAATTGTGTATCTTCCAATCAGTTCCTCCAAGCTTTCAACCACTTCCCTCTTCCACATTGTCACTATCCCCCCTGAAGCACCCCAAGAGGGAGCAACCACCCAACTAATCCCCCTGGCTTTCCATACACTCCTTGCCCACCTGTTATTAAACTCCATTCTCTTAGACTCATGCAATAGAACAACGTCTGGGTTGGACCTCTTTATTACCTCTTTTATTGTTGCTCTTTACCTTGCACTTCCTATCCCCCTCATATTCCAACTTAGTATCTTCATTCTCACTTTTTTCTTACTTCCATTCTACCCTTGACCACTACTTTCCCCCTTTCCTTCTCTCTCCTTTTGCCCCGAACTTCTTGTCACCTTCCACATCTCTTTTCAATCTCTCAACTTCACTCAAATTTCTCTTCTTTGTTCTAACATCTTTCTTCCTCTTCTGTAGACCATCTTTCAGCACATTCAAGTCTTCTAATCTGCATCCCAACTTCCCCACAAAATCCGCTATCAAATCTTCTTGCTTAGATTCCCCCCACTACCCTTCCTACACACTCCTCTTCAACCCTATCCTCCTCTCCTTCCCTGCTCTCCTTAGGTCCCTCCCCTCTTCTCTCCTCTCCATCCTTCCTCCTTATGATAATACCCCCCACCTCCTTTGTGCACTCCATATTATCTTTTCCACCCCAGCCCTCATTTCCTTCCCTCCCCTCCCCTGAGCCCTCCCCTCTTCTCTCCTCTCCACCCTCTCTCCAATTTATATGCCCTTCCACTTCATTAAATATTCTTTCAATAATCTCCCATACTTTCTCATTTCTATACCTTTCTTCCCGCACCTCTCCACTAACTTCCAATCCCCTTCCCAGAGCCTTAGAGGTCTCACCACCTTGACTGACTGCACATACATGGGTTGCAAGACATGGATCGGGAACAGAATCTGGAACAAAGGACACAAA